AATGTTTTGTCATGTTCGCTACCACTCCATCTAGTCTTTTTCCTCTTCTTACGTTCTATATCTTTAGATTCTTTATCCTGTTTACCATCACCTGCAAAAAATCTCATCATTAAATTACAAATTTATAAATATACCATCAAAACATGGAAATGTTTCATGTTTTTTTATAGAAACATTGTAATTATGATATATTAATTCTGATCAGTATTTGCTCTGAAATTTCCTTAACTGATATTAGTAGGTCCAGTGTACTTTAAATTAATGTATCTTTGAATAAAGTTATTGTATTGAATTTTTTTTTCATTTTAAAGGTCAAAATCCAAGAAATGAGATTGTGTAACTTAAAATTATATAAGGTTATGAGAAACATTTGTTATAAGCAATTTTTTATAATACAGTTTTAAAAAATGTCCAGATTCACTAAACTCACATATATCAATTATGATTAATATTACTCTACCTTTTGCTAGTATCAAAATAGATAACATTTCTTGCAAATTTGCATGAATTAAGTTCTTTATAAGCGTTATGGCATTTTCTGTTTCTTGCGAGAGAAAAGCCTAATCTATAATCTATACCCTTTACTTTCTGTTTCTTGCTTTCTAGATACTTTTTATTTTTTATCCTGTTTCTTTGTTTTCTATTGCCCGAAATTAATAGTCGCCAAACTTAGGAAAAGACAAGAAACTATAGGAAATAATTACGTTTTAAGTTTGCTAAGTTTGATTTTGTTTTGATTCCCATAGTTTATAGATTAATTGAATAGACAGCGAATTTGCGATATTTCTAATGAAATTTGCTCCGATCTTTCCTTTTTCCAGCAGACTTTGGTGAGTTTACAGGCGAGGATAGATTTGCGATTGTATTATTCAGATAAATTGCGTTTTTGCGTAAAAGGTTGGTGTAAGACTATTAATAGTTTTTCAATAATACGCACATTATTAGATTCAACATTTGTCGCTGTCAGAAATACATTCGATCAGATGTTCAGCTACTTATGAGTCAATTCTAAGCAGAATCATAAGACTGTGTCCTTGTAAAACTTATATATAAAAACTTATGACTAGTATTCTAATTTTATGCATATGTATCGTAAGACGTACGTTATTCGTAAATATCTACGATTTCTTGTAAATTTTATGGCTAGTAAGAAACTGTCTGCAAAAATATTGTATAAAGGTATAAGCACTTAAAAATTCTTACAAGTCTTACAGGAATATATTACGAGTCTTACGATTCTGTGCTTAGAATTTAGGCATTAATTATATTGCGATTGTATACATGTTAATATTTGCAATATAATTGTTAAAGTCATTATTTCTGAAATTAACTTTACAGCTACAATTATTTACGTAGTCCGAAATTAATTATTAGTATTACGAATAAGTTGACACACTGTGTAAGAGTTCGAAGTAATAATTTTTACAAGAAACACATAACGAGAAATATGATTGTAAATAAAACGATCGCAAAGAGGGAGGAAGTGAGGAAGGCAGAAATAGGAAGCAAAGCATACATTGTAGATAGACAGACTCGAGAGAAAGGAAAGTGGAACAGAGACGCTTACCTTCTGCTTCCCGTTTGCGGTTCGGCGTTACGGCGCCCGCCGTATTCATGTTCGTCTGCGCGCCGTTCGCGATCGCGGCACTCACCGCAGCCGCGGCAGCCGCCGCGGCTACTGCCGCCGCCGAGGATACATTCTGCTGCTGTTGCTGCTGAGCGTTCTGCAGGTAGCTTGGATTCAGCAGCGATGTGAAATTACGCGATTGACTCATATCAGTCTGGCGTAGTGACGCCGTGTCAGGCGTTGCACTCGCGCTCGTAATCGCAACACTGACACCGTTGATCCTTGATGGTAGTTGACGCCCAACAACGACGGGCAATAGGCGTAGCGACGGCGGGTAGTGGGTTTAGATCCGAGAAAATGGCGAAACTACGCCAACTTACCGAAGACACCGTTAACACACCTCCATGCTCCACTCCGACGTATCGCGGCCGGACGTTAGCCGCGTATCGCCCTCCGGGAACGTTAGCAACGGATGCGCTCATTGGCGCGCTCGCGATGACGCGCCAATCACGATGTCGGGCGCGAGGAAATGGCGCGGCCGAACGGACCAATCGCTTTGCGCCTGATACCAGGGGATCGATTATGTATCTTGAAATGAGGTGAAAATTACAAAAGTGAGCAAATTCACTAGTTATTGACCAATTAAATTACGAGTATTCTAGTGAATTTGCTCACTTTTGTAATTTTCACATTGGGTGCATTCAGTACTACGACCGCTTACTGAGCGCTTAGTGACTACGTTTACACCGTGCATTTAGTCCGCGACCTATACGATAGATGTTTTTGTTTAACTTACAGGATAAACAAGGACATCTATCGTATAGGTCGCGGATTAAGAGTACGGTGTAAACGTAGCCAGTGAGCGGTCGTGGTACTGAATGCACCCATTATTTCGAGATATATAATCGACTCCCAGGGAGTCGATTGCTGTGTATTTTGAAATGAGGTGAAAATTACAAAATGAGCAAATTTAACAGGTGTTGATAAATAAAATTACAAATATTCGACTGAATTTGTTCCGGATACAAAAATTAAGGCTAGTATTCACAGTCGATTTTTATATTTGAGATTGCTTAAGTATAGCCTTAACCCTGGATCTACAATAGGGTTTTAAGTCTTAAGCTATAAGAAATGGGCAAATCACAGTCGATTATTCCCCTCGGATTTGACTGTAATTGATCAATTTCTTATGGCTTAATGCAGGGTCTACAATAGAAGTCGTAGCGGTCGTAGGGTCTTAAGTCGTAAAAAATTGACCAATCACAGTTGAACTTAAAACAGCTATTGTAGATCTGGACTAATGGATGAGGCTGTAAGAGTAAGTCCGGATCTACAATAGGTGTTTTAAGACTTAAGTCACAAAAAACTGACCAATTATAATCGAATCCGAGGGGAATAATCGACTGTGATTCGTCCATTTCTTACGGCTTAAGGCTTAAAACCCTATTGTAGATCCGGGGTAAGAAATTGACTAATCACAGTTGAATGTAAGAAGGATAATCGACTGTGATTGGTCAATTTCTTACTCTCACAGCCTCATCCATTACTGATACTACTATTGTAGACGACGCATTAATATCAAGCAATGGCTGCGTTCAGCAGACTCAACAGTTTTGCAACCGTTTTATGATTGTCTGCTGAGATAGGACCATTCTTCT